TACTTGCAACTCCTGTATTACGCCAGAAGTTTGAGTAATAAGGCTTTGAAAAGTACCAAAATCAACAAAAATGCTGAATCAGCAAAAAACACAAAACATGCATATCTACCCTTGTCTAGTACATATATATCTCAAAATCTTATATCTATGTAATGCATTGTGAAAACACTTTAAATGTTTATCTTTACGTTAAGAATAAATAAGAAGAAATTCTTAAATATTCACAATATATTTCAAGCCCTAAAGATTAGTGATTTTTTTGTCCATACACATGGAAAATTGACTGGTTGCTAGGGAAATTTCTTTTGTCATGTTTCCATAGTAACCAAAACCCAAAACTTTTTTCACTTTGCATACATTGATTATAGCACAAGAGAAATCTATGTGTTGAAAATCATCAAATTCTGAGAACCCTCATGATTCACTTTCAAACCTACTTTGCCTGATTCTTACAGAGACTTGCACTTAAATGAGAGAAAATAGGGCATTTATAATTGACATATGCATTACCTGTTTCAAGTCCTTTAGGAATGTACTCTGGTTTTTTTACATGGTGACCTTGACCTTTAAGTTTAACCTACAGTCTTTTTCGATTTTTGTCACATTGATAAGAACCTTTGAATGACAGAAGATATGGTTTTCATGTTTTACATGTACATTATCTATGATAACACCTATCAGAAAGGTATATCATTTTTGACTTCATGACCTCGATCTAGAAGTTTGAAGGACACATAAACAAGACAGTTATATGCCATAAATATCTGCCTCCCCACTAACACCGAAAGCGGGGGACCACGATTCTTTTAATTTGCTCGTTAATCTGATATTTTCATAGGACCCCTCTCCTAAAAAAATGGACAGGGCTACATTATTGCAGCTACCTCGAGGTGTATATGGGAGCGTAGCAGGGACACAACTCTGGATGGAGAATGATATTTTTTTTTTACCTAATTGACTTCCTGATTATGGCAATATAGAAACATGTGTATATTCTGTGTCACTCTAAAAATACATAGACTTTTGTTATAACTTTTTTTTTAATGAAATATGAAGATAACGAACAGTAATCGAGGTCAGAAGTCCACCGGAACAATACAAATTGGGAACAAAGCAAACACAGGCCTCTAAAAACATAATCGGTGAGATCAGATGCCATGGAGGAGTAAGCATCCTTGTCGACCTGTCACAAGGTTAAAATTTAATACTGGAAACAATTTCTGTTCAACAGGTAATATATTACATAACAATCTGGCATATGATATGGTGTAAACATACTCTACGAAAGCGTATTAGTGCCACGTTATATTTTTTCAATGGAAATTCTGAATTTAAAGTTGGGAATTCCAACTTTAAAGTTGGCTTTTCCAACTTTAAAGATAGAAATTCCAACTTTAAAGTTGGTACATGTAATTCTAACTTTAATCTTGGCTTTTCCAACTTTAAAGTTAATTGGTACTTCCATTTGAAATTTCCAACGTTAAAGTTGGAAAATCCAACTTTAAGTTCGTAAAGCCAAGATAAAAGTTGGAATTACCCACTTTAAACGTGGCGCAGTGGTAAGAGCGTCTGCTCTAGCGTCGCAGAGTAATGAGCTGATCCTTACGTCGCGGGTTCGAATCCCACTGGGGGACGTGGATACCGGTTCTTCGGATGAGACCGTATTGACCGAGGTCCCGTGTCGCAGTAGGTGCTGGCACGAAAAGATCCCCCACTGCTCAATGGCCCTAAGTGCCGAGGATAGGTCAAAATTTGCAGGTCTCCACCGGCAAGTGGTGGCGTCTTGATAGAGTGAAAATTTCTCGATAGGGACGTTAAACAACACACAAACAAACACACAAAAAACAAAACCAACTTTAAAAAAATATATTACGTGGCACTAATATGCTTCCGTATTACTCAATTTCAGTGTTTAAAGTGTACAGCAATCACATTACTTAATTTTTTTACTTGCTCCGCAACCCCATTTACGCAGTCCTTATTGAAAAAGGGCAAAAAATGTAACATTGCAGGTTGTCACGGATATACCGGCAAATATAACACAATTTTTGTATTGCACTCATGCATATGCCATAGCAACTTAGAAAGTGCTGTAGGACGCAGGATATATCAAAAGTTAGCAATGCGTATGTGTTTGAATGGCTCATGATTTTCTCTCTCTCTCTTTTTGAGTTTTAGAGACTGAATTGGACGATGGACCTCCTCCAAAGAAATTATCAGTAAAAATCTTGTCAAAAGGGATATGCGCTTGACGGTTGCAGAACTTGTGAAGGCAAAAATACGCGAAAAAGATTTGAAGACATAGACTTTCTATTTTGCTACTCGAATAATTGTTAGCAATCTTAGGCCGTGGTAAATAATATCTTTTGATTTACGTCAATTAATTCTTTGAAAAGGTACCCCCAGTTCGAATAAAAAACAAACACATTTCAAAAACTACTGTAGTCTTAAGATTGAATGGATTTGCACTATTTCTAAAACATACAAAGCAAGATTGTTGAAAATTTGACAAAATTGTGTTTGTTTTTTTAAACTGGATTAAACCTGCTTGAAATTGCGGCCAACTGCATGAGATGTTTTATATTCCAAACGTAGTAGATGTTAAAATATCTATATTCCAGAAAACATGTTTATCCCCCCCCCCTCCCTCCACTTGGCAAAAGAAGTAGGACCCCCCCCTTTCTGAATCCGCCAGTGAAGAGATACAGAAGGTGAATTTTAGCAGACACAATTTATTTCATACTGAGAGTTCTCCGTTAATTCCAGTTGTAGAAATCTTAAGGAGCCCAAAGTTAACAAATCGGGCCGTTTGTTTGCCCTTTCCCGACTTAGGGTAAAAAAATTGGGTCGGTAGGTATATATAGGTGGGAAATTTTTTTCTAGAAAATTTAAACTTACACGTGTACATGTTGACGGAAATTCAAAGGGGGGGATCATCGTTTCACAGAGGTTAAAAAAAGTTTTGAGTCTGGCCAATTTTAGCCAGTCTGTCGGGAGAGGGCAAACAAACAATTTTTTTAAAGATCATGACCCCGGAATTTTTTTTTTAAAGTTTTTAAAGTTTCTATTCCGGTTTGCTTTAGCTTTTAAATCTAAAAACTGCATTCTGTAGAGACAGACAACTTTTGAGCTGAGTCTATAATTTAAACCTTCCGGGAGAAAGGTTCACTTTTAGTCAGTCTTCAGGGGGGGGGGGGGGGTCTGAATTATGGGGAAGTCACGCTATATAACATCAGGACTGCCTTAACATTAAATATACAGTATTCTCTTCATTGTATGTGCATCTTTAGGGACCTGGCAATATTTATCCCTATAGTGGAACCAGTGTAAAGTATGATGGGACAGGTACTTTACTGGGCATTCATTAAGATTGTTAGTACATTTCATAACATTTAGCAATTCATCTTTAACACAGTCCAAATCACATTAAAAATATCCAACCATTTAGTTCTGAAAAGGAAAATGCCAACATTTCTTGCATTCAATGGAGTCTGTAGTATGTATATATCCCACTGAATATCATTAAAAACATAACAAATTTTTCTATAGTGACTTTTGAAAGTTTGTTTCTCTGTTATTTGAAGACCGTTTTACTCTCGGGTTCAAGACCTGTTTTTACTATCGGGTTCGAGAAACACATTGACGTTTCTTTGTCAACAGGAAGTTCGGAATGACATAAAAAAAAGCGAAATGCGATTTTAACAGAAAAATTGCAGGTACCAGTACAAGGAAGAGAATATTATTACAGAATCAATCAGAAGACTACTGGTATGTTTTGTGACATGTGAATCGTAACGTTTCAAAACATTGAACTGTAGTTATATGTATGTTTATACCATTATTTATACCATTATAACCAGAGACCTGAAATTGATCAGAAAAAGGACCGTGTTCAGGGAAAAATACATTATACAGACAGTACGGAAAGAGGAAAAAATTACGACACCAGTATCCCAGACTAAAGCAGTTTATATGTTTTATTATAATGATGAAAAAACAATGGAAATTTATATCTTTTTAATACCTGAAAAACCAATATTTTCTTTTCTTGATAACTGTATAGGTCTTTAAAAAATTATCACAATAACAAGAAAGGCCAGTCTTTGAATCTTTCATAGGTTAAGACCAATAATATGAAAAACATAAAAAATAGATCAGATTCATTTTCATAAACTCTGTAGTTGTCAGTGATCTTTCAACATTAAAAAAATTAAGTCAATCATTACATAAAAGACAGCTCAATATTGGACAAACCTATGAATCAGAATGAATGCAAATAGAATGTTCTTTCATTCAATAAAATGATATTGATCTAAGGGACCCACTACAATAAAGATAGGATCATAAAGGATATAGGATCATAACAAGGTCCGTATATGAGGTATGCCCAATTTATACTGGGAGTTGAAAAAAATATCAAAAGAAATTTCGAATTGGAAGCAAGATAAAAATATCATGAAATATTGTTAAGTAAGTAAGTAAGTAAATTTTATTTAAAGTCGGCATTTTTTACAAAGTTTAACAATGAACATGAGCTCTGTAGAGCGCTTAAACCGACTATCACAGCTAAAAATATCACAGAGAAAACATTTACAACATAAATTAACATGCAAAAAACACATGTACATATATACACACGCATGGCAGATAAAACAAATTTAAGAATTAGGAAAAAAGAACAGAAAACTGAAGAGCAAAATGATTGCATTAAGAACAAAAATAAAAAAAAAAATAAGCATCATCATAATAACAAATTAGATAAAGCACTACATTAAACACATGGGATCAGTTTAAAAAGCACTAATTGTATTAATAATAGAAAAATAAAATTGATGGCTTAGAAACTTAAAAATTCAAGCAGATACAGCTTAACCAAAATTTGAAAAAAAAAAAAAAAAAAATAATAATAATAATTGAAGTTCCTCACCAACACACATCCTGTCTAGTGATTGGGTCAGTCCCTACCAACATAGACAGGATATGTATTGTTGTGAGGTTAGGAAAAAGCAGATATCAAAAACAAAAATAAAAGAAACTAGGATCCTGGAGAGCTTACACCTTTGCCATCATAGGATGTTACTCCAAAAGTTTCAGCCCCCAGGGTCCGCATAGCTGCTAAAACTGCTAAAGCTGTTACTGTTCTCTCTAATTGATTATTTATTTTTTATTGGGGTTTGTCAAATTGAGAGTTCAAGAATAGCAGAAAGGGCTTGTTACAATAAACTTGGTACTTATTTCCATTGCAATATCATGCATATCTTTCAATTTATAAAGTAGTGTGAACATCATAAAGAAATCAAAATCTTGACTTTAATTGGTGAGTAACATGGCAGATTCATCTTTGATATCATTACTTTTGGTACCTTGTGAGTGAGATAAATTGCAAAATTTAGTGATTTAGTATACACGAAAACTGTTTTTTGTTCTAATTCTTAAAAATATTAATTTTGTTTTTCTCTAACATTTATTAATAGTCTGTCAATGTATTAAATCTACATATTTTCCTTACAAATTACTGCAAAGTGGAAATAAATTAGAAGTCTATCATCAGTGTATTTTCCCCATGCTTACAGGGGTCTAAGATGGAGTGGATCATTCTTCAGTCTTTGTGATCTTCATCTGTAAAAGTTTCTATTATTTTCTCTTGAATGTAGCGATCACAATCCGTAAGACACAATCCATGCTCACTTTGAAGGTGTTCAGTTTTGGTGATAAATATCATGTCTGTAAATACATAACAATGAAAGAAACTTTATACAATATTTTAAAGGAAAAATATAATTAAAATTTAACTTTGAAAATATTCTATCAAAATTGAATACAGTTGAAGAGCTTTAGTCACTGCTATATATACTTATATATATATATATATATATATATATATAATAAAAAATAACAGAACGCCGATTAAAACGCTACCGGTTTCAATTACAGTATATCATCAGGAGTTTTGACATATTGCTATAGATACAAACATTTCAAAGTATATTGTGACATTGTGTAACTTCAAATAACTTATAAGTGTTGTGCTTTAGCAAAGTTCATTATGACGTCATTATGTTACGTTATTACGTTAACAATTAGACAAATAGTGCGGGAAAATTGTAAATTGTCTATCATGATAGGGCATTTAGCATTGGTTGAAACAATGAAATAAAATGTTTTTTCTTGGTGTCACATTCTGTTTTGAAAGTCTTGTTGTAGAATTTGTATATTGGAAACACTGTGAAGTTAGGAAATACGTTTTTAGCACATGTTCTAATATGTCCACTTACGAGAGTGCACTGGAACTTGGTTTGACGAATCTGTTGATTATGGACGGTCATTTGATGTCTAAGGATGTCCCTAGTTTGGCCAATATAATGCTCACCGCATCCTGAACATGTAATGACATATATCAAATTAGAACTCTGGCAGGAAAAAGAAGAATGAATAATGAATTTTCCTCCATTTTTAAAAATAAACTGTTGGGTTTCTTGTAAAAAGGGACAGGTTCCACATCTTGGGTGGTGACATTTTTTAACAACAAGTGTTTCTTCCGCATTGTTTAATTTTGCTCGTGTTAAAATCTTCTTTAAGGAGGTGCTTTTAATTTTTTTTATTCTTGTTCTAATACCATAACTAATAAAAAAAAAAGTGGCCTTACTCACGTTATGTCATGAAGTATAAATGAACTTTGCTAAAGCATAACTAGGGTTTTTTGATGTCAATAGTAATGTTGATTGTATATGTGTAACTCAAACTCCTGAAGATGGAAAATGAAACCAACTCAAGGTTGAATTCAACTCAAGTGTAAAGAATTCGTTCTTGGTTTAAATGTCATTAAAATGTAAACACAATACTAGAAGTTTAGCCATCCGTAGAATATTCTAGTTATTTAAATTGTATTAGTATCAATGTGATGGGGTGTGTAGATTGAACTTATACACTTATAGATTGAACTTATACTAGTTACAGGTACGTAGAACTTTAAAATGTGACAGGATGTATGGGTATACACTTGTTTATTTAGATTTCAGCATAATTTAGTAGTCATATACTTTCTGTTTATCACAAAGAAGGTGTGACTGTGTTCAGGTTTAAGTAATTTTTTTTTTATTTTTCATTTCAAACTTACCAGGATCTGAGCACTATGTCTGGTAAGTTTTCCCGTTTTGGTGATGTTGGTTGTCCATTTTTCTTCTTGGTATGCACTGATGTTCAGTCTACTGGTACTTGTTAAATAAATAGTAATCTTTTTTAAGGATTGGTCACAGTTGGTCAGAGAATGTCTTGTAATGTTTGATAAATAAATAAAATCAAAGACATTTTGCATATTATTCATTATTATAGTGATGACCAAGGCTGTAAAGGTTGAACTTACAAGTTAAAATGAAATGTTCTTTGAACAATAAAGAAAATGTGATCTTGGTAACACAGTCTTTTATTTTAAATTTACATTTGATTGACACATTTTCTTTAGCATGTGATGAAAGATTTATTTAATTTTTGGAAAACTGAAATGAGTTTGTTAATTACATTAAGATTACTTTATGGAAATAATCCTAAAATAGCTGTAAATTAATTAAGTGAGGAGGTTAATGGAGCCCTTCAGTGATTTTATGGTGCATTATTTTAGGTATCATAGGAGAAAAAGAGGAGATGGAGAAAGTAACAGAACTCCATATTGAGGGCATGACCTGTAAATCATGTGTTGGAAAAATTCAGGAACACATTAGCCAGGAGCCAGGTGTCCTTAATGTACAGGTAACATAAACTCTCTGTACGAAAGATAGAAGGTGTACAACATATTGTAAATAAATCTTCAAGGAGATTCTTTTAAGTTATAATCTGGTTAAAGAAAAAGAAATTTTGGAAGTTGGAACATATGAGATCTAATAAATGATAAATAATAGTACTTTTAACTACGTAGTGACAATTTTGGTCGTATTTTATTCATCGACAACAAGCACTCTAGTATTAGTGTACTACCTCGGCAATAAATCATGATTTTGCATAATAAAATATAGGATTGTGAGATAGTGCATTTTTTATAGTCCTGGTGTAGACTATAAGGTGATGTCAGGTCACTTTCGGATAAGACAAACAGGATATTGAAATAGTGTATCGTGTGCATTAGCTATCATGTGTGTACATGTGATAAATGTTGAAAGTAGGGCACACCTTTTTATACCATGCTAAAAATGTGAAAAATAAATTTAAACTGCCTGGTGTGCAAAGAACGTGGAAAAAAGACACAGTCTATTTTTAATTCATGACCATATAGTATGGATTGTGAAATGTAGTGATTTTAAAGCTGTAAAGATACTTTTTGTTTCAAATATACACATCTAGTGGAAGTATTAAACATGATTATTAGTCAGATTTAGCTCTGATATTGTGCACTCATTCATCTAAATCTACTTTTCACTCAATGTTAACATAGTAAATCATTGATAAAACCAAGGCTTCCAACAATTGAATTCAAATAGCAAAAAAAAAAAAAAAAAAAAATTACCATTCCCTTCCCATTTTCTCTTAAAAATCATAAAATATTTGAAATTGCAATAAAGTGAGTTAATATTAGACAAAATAAATGAACATGGTTTAGTTAGAACAAACAGTTTGAATAGCTGTTTTTCATTTAAATCTTTTTGATTGTTACCTGGTGTGTCTGCCTTCATGTCTGTTTTAGAGGTGAAGGAGAGACCTTCTGCCTTGGATATTTTCTTCCTTGCATGGTCACTTCTGTGGCCTGCCTCTGATTCTAGATAAAGTTTCATCCATCAAATCTCCAGCTTAATTTCTTTACTTGCCTCTGATGCACACTTAGCTGGTTCTGAATGTCTGGCCTTCTTCACCTAACCTCCATGTCCAACGACTCTAGTTGGACAAAAATAGGGTTTATATCAGCATTTAAGTTCAGTGTACAAGATAACGTCCCCCCCAATCTCCTCCATGTGTGGACTGTTCAGGTAGTCAGTGGAATGTGTTGATGGGATTTCTTGCCCTCTGGCCCAGACATTGTTGAATTGACGCTATACTGTGTCTGCCCTCGGGCATTTGATAGTTACCTTTTGATGGAACATGTGTTTTTCTAATTGGAAGCCTAGCCATGTGTATTGAATACTAAATTCTTACCTGGTCATCAGGTTTATTTACGTCAATTTGTGCTGGTTATCACTGTCTGATTAGGGACTGCTGGGGAAACAGTGATAGCTGTACAATTGTTACTTTACTGGTGAATTGAGTGAGAGTGAACAAATAGAACATCCTTAAGATTAGTGAAGAAGGATGGACAATTAATAATGTGACACCATCGGAAATTCACTGTTTGACAAGATGAACACGTGATTTCACCCATCAATAGGTTTTTCTGGAAACTTAACAATCCTTGCTATTTATTGGGCAGAACAGCGGTTAATTGTTTTATGTCATATAGACAAACGAGTTCAAGCCACTCAGACTTTATAAAGTTCATCATGGCTAACCAAGGAAAATACATGAAGTTACCGGTGAGAGTTTATTTTTCAATGAAAATCATCAAAATATTTAATTATTTATTTATTTCTGTAAATTGTCAATTAAGTATAGTAGTACATGTAGATAATAACTTATGACCTAGTTTTGAAAGAACATCATGGATACATATTAATCTAGTATATGTTTATTAGATTTTATTTGATGTAGTAGATTGATTTTTTACAGTAGATTTTAACAAAATATTTCCTTTCATGGTCATGAAGTGTAAATTAAGATATAAATATACTGGTATATGTGTATCAGAAACAAAATCACATGACAGCATCTACTCAGAGGTCCCCATTAAGTCTAACGTACATATGTGATGCAACAAGGTTATGAAAATCATGACATATTGTAGAATTTTTCACGTCAAAACTTGAAATGTAAATAATGCCATCAGAATAATACAAAACAAGTAAATATGGTGTTTGAACTAAAATAAAAATAATTTATGCTAGATCATTAAATAGGATTTTTTCCCTAGGAATTAAAGCTGTGAAGAAATAAATCATATTACAACATGGATATCTTCTGTATATTCAAAACTGATATACATGTATGTCCAAATATTAAGTGCTCAGAAAACTTATAAAAACTTAATTAGTTGTATAGTGGTTATTAGATGTATGTATATAATCCTGATCTGTAAAATAGTTGGTTTATGTGGAAACACACTAAGTCAGAAGTTTATACTTGATGTGTCATGAGGTAACAGAGGTTCTTCTTTCTAAAGTAAAACTGCCCCATACTCTCTTGCAAGCTGATAAAAAAAATTAATTTTCAGTATTAATACATTTAAAATTATGTATGTAAAATGTATATAAAATTTTCAACTGATGTAGGAGAGGAAACTTATCCTTTATAGATTGAAACTAGGAAAGTCAGAGGATGAAGTGCTTCCACATTGTTAAAAGGGGCAAATTTGGCATCTAGAATATATAGACAATAACAATTTGAACATGTTATCAAATGACTTGAAAGACAACTTTTTGACAGTAAGGAGTATCTGTATTTATATTTTTGTCTGGTTTCCCCTGAGCATGTGATTTAGCACCACAGAGCATGGGATATAGTGCCACCAAACATGTGATATTGAGCATCACTGAGAATTTTTTTACCCATCTGACATGGTGATGTGAACTTTGTGTAAGATGTATATATGGAGAAAGACTGAAAGCCAGAAAAGGAGTTATTTGTTTAATCAATCTATCCCCTCAGTTTGTGTCACTGTTCCTATTATATCGTCACATTAATGATATCTAATATGTTGTAATTGCTATGTTGGCTTGTGGGGATTTTTCTGTTTACTAGCATGTGTATCTGTTAAATCCATCTCATAGGCAGAATATAGAATATATACTTGGAGCACAAATGAAATTTTTCTTAATAACAAAAATATTGATTAGAGTAGACAGTCTATAATCCCTTTGCAGAGCAAATGATATGATTAAGTGACTTGATAGAAAAACATAGTTTAAAAACAGTCTACAATGACTGATCACCAACGCTAAATGAACAGAAAATGGTGAAAAGTAGGCGTTTAACTGATTTGTTTATGTGATGCCCAAAGTGAATCAATCAGCGAGTGGAAAGGACGGAATATTTTGTTAGTGTAAGATTGGTACTTATCTGTCAGCTGAAAATGATCCTCCAAGAAATCAATAATTAGATATATAGAAAATGAACATCTTAATTCTCTTATTGTGAGGAACAGGTGTGTCAGTCCAAGACAGAAAAATTGACACCAATGTAGATGACCCAATGTACTTGGCAAACAAATATCTTCGTGTGCAGAGACATTTTCCGGAAATAAAAACATTATTTTCTATAGTACATTGTATGATGAATAGTTTTATAAAAGAAGAGGCTATCCCCTTTCTTATCAATCATTAACTAAAAGATTTTCTGTCATTTCATTCATGTAAATAGGGGCAGTGTTTAACTATCAAACAACATTTAACAAAACTGTTGGGCAAAATAAAAATATAAAAAAAAATATAAGTTTCAGTTTAATTCTTTACTGAAGGTGGTGCATAAATAGACGTGTTACGTGCTGATTTCCAGGTAACAGCTCCAATTTATTACTGCCAACATAATGGAAATGGCATAATTAAAAAGTCAAATAAATGCTAATGACAAATCATTGTTAATGATGAGATAAAACTTAATCGTAGAGTTTTACTTCCAGTCACTTCATGTTAATAAGATCGATCCAAAAACAGGGGATTTGGGTCACTTAAGAAAGGGTTTCAGCATTCTTATTTGTAAGCTAATACATGTAATATACAATGAATATTTTGTTAACAGATTGTGCATAGTTAATAACACCATCAAGAGTACCTCTTCCTGAAATATGACCTCCCATTATAAAGCATTTGATGTGAAATCGAGCATTTTGAGGGTTCATTCATTATATATGCAAGAATTACCATGTGCTTCAGTACATTTAAAAACCTGGACGTTTCTTATTTTCTTATGTTTACATTTTCAACTGTTAGGTAAATTTTTCTGGACAAATTTCATTCAAAATTCACAATTAATTAAGTACTGTATTACTATTAGCTACTAAATACAACACTGTTAAGTGTGATGTCACAATGGCTTTAATTAAGTCACAGTATGTTAATGGGCTGATACATACTGAGACTGAAAGAGTTTATTTCCATTTTGATATAGATAGATAGATTTTATTTGCCTATCATGGTCCCACTGGGGGCATAACATAAATACATGTACAAGTAAGCATGATTTGTAAACACTCAAGAGGACGTATAAGTAACTATAAATACCCGTAACCAGTATATAGAAATTTCAAAGAAATTTCTCAAAGATTAAAAATGTCTCAAATGACTATTTTAGGTATTTCTGGAAGAGAAGGAGGCAAAAATCACATACAGTCCGACAGAGACCTCCCCACCTATACTGGCTGAAAAAATCTCTGACTTGGGATATCCCTCAAAGGTCAAGTTAGTACATCCAGTCAGGGGAGACAACTGCCAAGATGCCATCATCAATGTAGAGGGCATGACCTGTCAGTCATGTGTCAAATCCATAGAATCCAAGATTTCAGAGGTCAGTGGAGTACTGGGAATAACAGTGTCCTTAGAGAAAAATCAGGCCTATGTCCAGTTCAACCCAGGCAAGATATCAGCTGAAAAAATAGCTGAAGCTATTGATGACATGGGGTTTGATGCTTCCATCCACTCCCTTACCAGAGACAAGGGTCTTACCACCAGGATTGGTGTAGAGGGGATGACCTGCCAGTCCTGTGTCCACTCCATTGAAACAGCCATGGGTGATAAACCAGGAGTTAGAGATATAAAGGTGTCACTCACTGATAAAGAGGCAGTCATAGTATATGATCCCACCCTCACAAACCCAGGAGAATTAAGGGAACAGATAGATGACATGGGGTTTGAGGCCACACTGGTAAAAGAGTCATCAATTGACAGTGAGTTTGACCGACTAGCTTCACGACAGTCCTCCACTAGATCAGTCCCAAGTGAACAAGTCTGCCAGATTTCTGTCATTGGAATGACCTGTCAATCCTGTGTCAAAAATATTGAGTCCAACATCTCATCTAAAGCTGGGGTAAAGTCCATATCTGTGTCACTTGAAAAAGAAATGGCCACTGTTACTTACAACATAATGGTTACAAATCCAAAAGCCATAGCTGAGATGATTGATGACATGGGATTTGAAGCTTCTGTTCAGGGTTCAGATACAGAGAATGATGTTGAAACTGTTGTGCTTGGAGTTGGTGGTATGACCTGTCACTCCTGTGTAAAGAGCATTGAAGACCACATTTCCCAGAACCCTGCTGTGAAGTCAATCAAAGTGTCTCTTTCAGATCAAAATGCCACCATAGTGTATTATCCAAACAGAGGGACCCCAGAAACTCTGAAAGATGCTATTGATGATATGGGTTTTGATGCATCTCTTCCAACAGGTACATAGAAATACTGCAGTTTATTATTAATAAGGTAATTTATTAAACATTTATGTCAGTATATGTGAATGCATGTACATTATATTCTTTGTAATTCCAGATAATATTGATGTGAAAGTGGTCCAGCCTAACAAAAAGGGCTCAAGCAAACAGAAGGCCTCTCATCATGACAGTGTGAAGGTAGACATGGATAAAGGCTCCGTCTCATTTCACAAGGATAATCCAGATGATGACCTAGAAAAATGTTTCTTGCGAGTCACCGGGATGACTTGTGCTTCTTGTGTGGCAACCATTGAGAAGAATCTTTTGAAAGTAGAGGGTAAGTACTGATAATCAGCATATTTCACTGGCTAATTACAAGGAATATACTAGATTATGGAAGTCAGAAAATTCAAATTTTCATCAGATGAATTGATGTTTTGTTGTAGAAGATTAGTCATGAAAGTATTTAATCTGTAAATTATTGTAGATATGTTAAAGCCAATGATTCATTAACAAAAATATCAGTCTCTGAAATTAACTGGTTGTTTCATATTTTAATATTAAGAAATTTGGTCACTGTTCTGTTTATCCCTAGGTATACACAGCTGTTTAGTGGCACTGATGGCTCAAAAAGCAGAGGTGAAATACGACCCTGCATATCTTTTGCCTTCCCAGATTGCAGCCAAAATCTCAAGTTTGGGATTTGAGGCCACTGTCCTTGAAAATGAGGGATTCGGTCAAGGGGTTGTAGAACTTCTGGTATGTTAATTATTATCATTTGTTTTTTGTATTACATGTATTTTTGCTGTTTAAAGACTAGAAGAGCTTAGAGAAGGGTAAGGTGTCCATCACCTGTCTGTTTGTCTGTGTGCCTTAATTTCAACAAATTTTCAAAATGATACTCCTCCTACAGTTTGGTATGATTTCAGTAGAATTGGTTCACAAGCAAACTATGCCAAGATGCATAAATCTCTTTATTCATTTTAAATTTAATGAACAGTGTTTTTATGGTTTCAAGAAAAAGATTCTTTCAAATTGCTCCCCCATCATTTTTAAATTTTTATTCTTGGCACAATTTTAGAAAATACAAGGATATATAATTCTCGACATTAAAAAAGGTGTTTCAAGTCTGGTACAACTTTTTTCTTTCACTATGGAAAAACTTACCAGTAGAGCTATAGTCTCATCAGAGACTTTTGGTTTGACTATCATTTCTGAAATGAAACTTAAACATTTGTCTCACACTGATTTTGTAGATAACAGGAATGACGTGTTCATCGTGTGTTCACATGATTGAGTCGTCCATTCTGAAGAAGCCTGGTGTACTTACAGCATCAGTAGCCCTGTCTACGTGTAAAGGGAAGTTCACCTATAAACCAGAGGTTACAGGTCCCAGGGCAATCATTGAGGCAATTAAGGTGAGCAATCTTTTGTGAAGGATTTCAAATTGTCAGTGTTATGGAGATAAAAAATAAACAACACAGGAAGTAAACTATAGATTGGTGTTGAAGTATCATTTAATCTCCATATTTTATTCAGTACCTATACAATACATGGAAAGGAAATGGGGAGCAGAATAAGCTCTCTCAAAAGCCTGTTAAAATCTTAGCATATTTTTTTCATTCTTCCAGTCTTTGGGATATGAGGCTGAATTATTCACGGATGATGATAAAGATGCAGCTCGTTATGATCACAGAGATGAGATAAAAAGGTGATGGTTCATTCTGTTTAATGGTACTCTAGTTATAAATTACATTGTAAAATTATTATATTTATAATAGACATTATGCATGCATATGACCAGCTGTTCTGTAGAAATATTTTTATCCCATCAGTATTTATTTTAAGATCTCTTTGATTTTTAGATGGAGAGCCTCATTTTTATGGTCCCTGATCTTTGGAGTGCCATCACTAGTAATCATGATGTACTTCATGTTTGCCTCACCCCCAGATGAGCCCACACCTGTCACTAACACTACAGGGAATATTACCACCGTAAAACCAGTATCACATGGCGGCCATTACCAGATCATGATTCTACCTGGTCTCTCTCTGGAGAACCTACTGATGTTTATTCTGGCCACACCTGTACAGGTAAAACAGGACAAATTCTTATGTCATTATTTTTAATAAAATTAAGTTTTTATGCATTGCTTTCCATATATTATTATTATTAAAGTGACTACTATATTTCAAGTCTGTCTATCCCTTTTCATGAAGAGATGACAAAAGGGACAAGTATTCATGAAAAGATATCATTAGAAATCCCTAAGTTTGTAAAGTGAGTAAAAACTTATGATGTTATGATTTGTTTTCAGTTTATTGGAGGAAGATATTTCTACATACAAGCTTTCAAAGCTGTCAGACATGGAGCAGCAAACATGGACGTTTTGGTAGTCTTGGCAACCACTATATCATATATTTACTCCTGTATTGTGGTCATCGTTGCTATGGTGATGGAGGAGAAAGTAAGCCCTGTAACCTTCTTTGAGACGACACCAATGTTGATGGTATTCATTTCACTTGGACGCTGGCTGGAACATGTCGCCAAGGTGGGAAATGTTAAGAATGGGAATATTCACAATCTTTTGACTTTGTTAACTATTTCACTTTTTCAGCAAAGCACATTTAAATCTGACAATTATATGTACAAATGTGACAAAGTATGTAATTTGTTGTATTTATACAGGGTAAAACTTCTGAAGCTCTGGCCAAGCTGATGTCTCTACAGGCCTCAGAAGCTGTGCTGGTGGAAATTGATAAGGAATTCAATATTCTGAATGAACAAACGATCAGTGTAGATTTAGTCCAAAGAGGTGATGTACTCAAGGTAATGAACTATGTATAGTTCTATAGAACATAAAGTTTATTGGTTTTCATTTTATTATGACATGTATAAGAATTATTATATGAATAATTTACAGTCAGACCTTGTTATCTTGAGCTCAATTTGGTGAAGAAAAAAATTTCAAGATATCTAAAGATTTGAAATATCAAATTTAAAACCTCTTAAAGAAAAATTGGTTGGAATTTATGAATCACTTGAACTTTTCCATGTAAAATGAGATATCAATGTTATGTTCGAGAGACAGAATTCAACGTGTAATTTGAAAGATTTAAAACGGATAAAATCATTGTTTTAAAAATATCAGTGTTAGGAAGGAGGATATTTTATTTGACTATGGCTCCCAGCATAAAACTATGGTATTTGATACAGGTGGTTCCTGGTGAAAAGATTCCAGTGGATGCTAAAATAATTGAAGGACACACAACTTGTGACGAGTCCCTCATCACAGGAGAATCCATGCCTGTCTCAAAGACCGTAGGTCTGTACAAAACCACCCTTTAGTTCTTTCTACAAATAATTGGATAAATGATTACTAATTTATAACTAGATTTTTTTTATTTGCAGATGCAACAGCCTATTGTAATATTAATATTTCATTTACAGGTGCAACAGTGATTGGGGGTTCCATCAACCAGAATGGAATGATACTGATAGAGGCCACCCATGTGGGATCTGACACCACCCTGTCACAAATCGTCAAACTAGTGGAGGAAGCACAAACATCAAAGGTAGACAACTCACGAAACACATACACATCAACACTTTAACAAGTAGAGTTATTGTTTCTTTAAATAGTGCACCAAGATACCATTTAGTGGGTTATATATGTATAAACAATGTACTAACATAACAGCATTTCAACAAATACAGTCAAACTCTCGAAGGGACCGAAAAAATACTTCGAGATAACCAAGGATTCAAGATATCCAGGGTAAAATACTTAAGGAATAAGCAGTTGGGACTTCAAAATCAGTTCGACATATCCATGGTATTTGAGATATCCGTGTTCGAGATACAGAAGTTCAACTGTATAACATCTAGAATAATTGCTTCATGAAAATTTAATGTATGTTTCTATATACCTTGTTTAGGCCCCTATACAACAACTGGCTGACAAGATAGCTGGGATGTTTGTACCCGGAGTGGTCATTCTATCCACTCTGACAGTTATTGCTTGGACCATTGTGGGATATGTGGATGTTTATAAAGTAGATGCAGACTTTGTGGTAATACACTCTCATTCTTATTTTCCATGCTACTAATACATTGTTTTTTGTAATAATAACACATTTACTTCAATTTTTTAACTCTTCTTAATTTAATCATCTTTTTTTTTCAGGATGATGGCACAATGTCAAAAGATGAGGTCATATTTCAGAAGGCTTTTCAGTATGCCATCACTGTACTGAGTATTGCCTGTCCCTGTGCCTTAGGCCTGGCCACACCTACAGCTGTTATGGTGGGGACTGGTGTAGGGGCTACAAATGGCATACTGATCAAGGGTGGGGAGCCATTGGAATGCTCTCACAAAGTAAGCCTATATTGTTAGAAATTGATAAACACATTTTAATATGGGTTAACTTATTTCTTTAGTTTGCAGTTTGATCTTGCATGTTTATTGTTTTGAACAGCTGAAGTGTATCGTGTTTGATAAGACCGGAACTGTAACTCATGGAGTCCCTCGTGTTGCCAGGGTAGCAATGTTTGTAGAGAACTCTGTCTGCTCCTTTATTAAACTGATAGCCATCGCAGGAACAGCTGAGACAAGCAGTGAACATCCACTGGCCTCCGCAATTGTCAAGTACGCCAAGCAGGTATGTACAGAGCTGGTGGGAATTATGACAGGTTAACAATAGATTTATAAGTTCATGTAGATCATTTTAACATTCATTTAAATAATTTTATCAAATTTGTACATAGCTCTACCTACAAGAATATTTTCAAAGAAAGTGTTATAATTTACTTTGGTTTTGGCCCCCATATTTTCGTTATGACTGTAGAAATCTACTTATTTCAAGTTAAAAAGTTACTACTGGAAAACAAAAAAAATTTCCTTCAATGAAAATACATGTATGTGTATTTTGTTTGAGTGTGACATTACATCTAGAACATTTATTCATAATTTAAACAAACATAAACAGAAGATTTTTTAGGGAAGTTTTTGATTTTAAACAAGAGAAGAAAGGGAGCATGCTTCATATCTTTTGAACATAAAACAATGTCCACTTGTTGTGAAAGATCAAGAAATACATAAAAATTGACATTTTAAAAAAATGTGGGAGACAAGGCTAATTTGTGACAACATACATAATCAAAGCTTGCATAATTACAGAACATTGATTGAGTAAATGCTTGCTTATTAATTTGTGTAGTATGATTAAACAAAACATACCTTAAGAGGTTTTTTTTGTTACCCTAGTTTGGGTCAAACGAAGCATTTTCATACCTTGTTCTTAAGTTTTATATTGGGAAAAAGTTAACACTTGAAATCAAACAATTTTCAGACTTTGAAGACGGAGACCTTGGGTAAGACACAGGGGTACCAGGCAGTGCCAGGGTGTGGTCTGAAATGTACAGTTACCCAGATTGATGGTCTTCTAACAGATATAGATCTGGAGGGAGTCAACAACAGGAAGAATCTAATGGGGAGCACAAGGGTCAAGACTGATAATGTTCTCTTTGATGGGGAAGAAATCAGTGCAACTATTGAAGGTTAGAAAAAAGATAATCAACCAAAAATAAAGATCTGAATTCTTGTATATAGTATATATATACTCTTAAAATGTGCTATGGTTAAGTTTTATGCTGTGCATTAGACGTAAGGAGAAAGCAAACACTTACATGTTTTAAAAAGTGCTAATAAATGTACATGTATATAAATTATGGAGCAATTTTTTTTTTCTTTGGATTAAGAGATTAATCAGAGTACCTGTTTTTGTTCAGAGAGTGGTTTGGTGGGGGCCATTGCCGCTACACCCTACAAGGTCCTGATAGGAAATCGGGAATGGATGACAAGAAATGGCCTGACAGTGACTGATAAAATGGATGAAACGATGACAGAGCATGAGAACCAGGGACAAACAGCAATTCTGTGTGCCATTGATGGTAGGTTGTATGTTAACGATACCATCATCATTATGTATCAAAAATTATTAATTGAAATTTTTAGCACTATTTTTTGCTGGACTTGAAAGAATTCTTACATATCCATAAATAACATGTTTGTTTCTTAGAAATGGGATTCATGTCTTTTTATATACCGCCGACCACATGATAAAACAGTCTGGATTATTCTGTTTTAGATGTGATAGTAGCCATGTTGGCGGTAGCTGACACTGTGAAGTCCGAGGCCCACCTGGCCATCAGCACACTGAAGGATATGGGACTACAGGTGGTTCTACTGACAGGGGACAATCAAAAAACAGCTAGGGCCATTGCCAGACAGGTATATTGCAACTTACTGTAAAATCACATATTTTGGTGGGGTCAGATTTTCTTTGTTTGAGCAAAAACTGTGGGTTTGTGGGAATTGGATTTTGTGGCTGAAGAATTGTTGAGTAGTTATGTTTATGACATTTTACATTTCTTGGTGGACATGAATTTGTGGGTGTTTTCATACCTCGAAAACAACGAAAATTAAACACCCACGAAAATTAGTGATTTCAAAGTAAGTCATTTATGGAAAAATTGTTTAAAAAAAGGGCCATAACTTTATGTAAACTTCGAGAAAAAACATTAGTTTTGTTCAAAATGAAAAGAGTGAGAATGTTGAAAAAATAAAATATTTTTGATATTAAGGTGTTTCATGATCTTCATTTAAAAGAAATATTTGGGGAATTTTAGGAGCAGTTTCTTTTGTGAATGTGAATATTTAATTTTTTTTTCTTTAGGTTGGAATTCAAAAAGTATTTGCTGAAGTGTTGCCCTCTCACAAAGTAAAAAAGATCAAACAACTTCAGAAGCAGGGAATGAAGGTTGCTATGGTTGGAGATGGTGTGAATGACTCGCCAGCTCTAGCACAAGCAGATGTTGGAATTGCCATAGGAACGGGAACAGATGTAGCAGTGGAGGCCGCAGATGTTGTCCTCATCAAAGTACGTGTCACTTTCTCATTTGTTATAAGCGTGTTTTGCTGCAATCAAATTCAGTCATTAAAGGTCAGAATTTACAGACATACAGACAATATGTGTGCCAAATATTGAATATACATGTAGATATTTTTTATATACAGAATGACCTGCTAGATGTAGCCGCAGCCATTCAGCTCTCAAAGAAGACTGTTCGTAGAATTCGCATTAACTTCTTTGCTGCTTCCATTTATAATCTGGTTGGGATCCCTATAGCTGCTGGTGAGTATGATTAAGTATTTATATCTGATTATTTGCTGTATTTGAATTCTTCTGTTGGAACTACCGTATATACTCGCCTATAAGTCGGTCCGCCTATAAGTCGGTTGTATTCTTGAAGTTTATATTAGAGGGATTGATCTTCTAAAATACCAGTCTTTTTATAACTTGCCTATAAGTCGGACATAGAGTTTTGGACCAAAGTTTAACTCCCAAAAATCCGACTTATAGGCGAGTATATACGGTACACAGAGACATCTTTGTCTGATAGGAATCTTTGTTCCCCTTGGATGGCCTCTGCAGCTATGGCATTATCCTCGGTTTCTGATTACTAAGTATGTTTATTTTATAGGAATCTTTGTTCCCGTTGGTCTGTCTCTGAAGCCCTGGATGGCCTCAGCAGCTATGGCGTTATCCTCAGTTTCTGTTGTCTTGTCTTCCTTGCTTCTGAAAACGTAAGTAAATTTTACAATGAAGTTTTTTTTGAAATCAGAATTTTTTATATAGTTCTTTAGCAAATTTGAGTTTTTAATATCTGAATAGAAAACGACATTAATGTCTAAAATATTTCCATGTAAAAAATGATTTTTTTCTTTAAAATTCAGTTTCAAGAAGCCTTCGAAGGAGAAAATGCTGACCCAAAAATACTATGCCAAATTTGCTGCTGACCAGGAACTAGACAACATTTCTGTTCACAGAGGTGTTGAGAGTCTGCCATCGAGTCGTGAAGGAAGTAAGCAAGGCAGTATTATATCACGCCTCAGTGGAAAAAAGAAGCCGGTCACTCCAGACCACACAAGTCTGCTGGAGATGGGTGACAATTCCGACTCCGATTCCAGTGAACATATGGAATAGTGGACTCTTCACAGCATTACTGCAGAGAGGTCTCTAAATGCATTCTTATTTGTTACTAATATCGTTTCACAAAACTTATAGACACTGGTTGATATACTGATACAGAATTTTTACTTGCACTAGCATAACAGGTTAATGTTACAAAATCAGTATTGTTGTTTACCGTTTTATTTCAAAGTGAACTGTATTTCACCATAAATATCCCTATTAAAATATATGTACTTACCTCTCCTTGCTATGGAGGAGGCACAAGGCTGTATTAATATATATATATGTGTATGTTGTATACATCTAATAGTTTGTTTTGTAAGCAGTACATTTATAATATTTTTTATAAATATTTTATTTTATGGTCCATAACTAATTTTTCAAAGTCTTTCTTATCATGGCCAGAATATGTTGTACTTAGTCCCAATTTTAAAATTTGTAAACACTTGTGATTCGCTCATCAAGATACCAGTTGTATATGTAATTTAAATGTTAAATATCCAGTAAATGTAGCTTATAAAATGTAATTGTTTAATTTTTCTGATATCAGATGAATAAGTACAAAATCTTGTTATAATTTCATATTTGTGAGAAAAGAAGTATGGTTCATTAATTTTTAGAATTTTTTTGCTTGTTAAGAGGCACACTTGTATATACGTTACTGATGTTGAGCTTTCATCAACTGAACTTTATTAATGTATTTAATTCACAATTGTTTAGAAGAATATTCAACTGTAAAAAAAAAACGCCTACTATGAATATATTGTTGCTTTTGAAATAAAAAACCTGTGTAAAATGAATTAAAAAAATTAACAACCTTATTCATAGAATTTCTTACACCTTATGAGCAAACCTGCACCGTTAAGAATGTCTTAAATAGGAGTTCATCAAGTGTGTTGGCTCCGAGGGAAGATAACACGGTTGAGTAGTACAGTACTGGAAAAATTTTTGATTCAGAACCCCATGTGTCGCCTTTTCTCATATTGAGCCGAATTGCAATACACAATAGTGTCACCCATCGGCAGATACTAGTATTAACGGTGGAGAAAATATACCTGCATACACAGTGCGTGTTGACCCTTGCCTCACATATATGTCGCCAAGATTTTCTGAGTTTCGATGATAATAGTGAAAGCATTTGAAATTATTTTAACAATGTATGGATTCATCATTGATTAATGAATAAATTTAGTGACTGATTGGTTATAGCTTTATATTATATTTCATGAATGTTACAAACCTGAGTATTATGAATGTTCAGAGACTTTATCAAGTGATAGAAGAATGAATATATTGCATAAACATCACCCATATCTTACTCAGGCATGGAAGTAATGACAGCATTTAACAATCAATATAAACAAAACCATAATGAAATTGATTTGCACTTTTTTGTAAGGGGTGACAGATATGGTAAGAGATTTCCTCTAAACTTTGTATGTACATGTACATTGTAAATGCAAAAGCTTTCTTTGAAATTCCGCGATGTTATGGGTGAACATGTACCATGAAAATGGCTCTCAGAGTTGGAAGATGCAAATTTTTGACAATAAATTTGAAATCTTCACTGCATCCTATGCGATTTGGAAGTACGAGTATGATCATTGCTGAAAAATGAAGTATGACATTTACCAAGAAGTTCTTGAGGAATTTGCCAACTCTAGGTGTTACCCTATGAATTAAAAAATCAAATATATATTTTAATATCGTGGATTCTTATAGATTTTTCTTTGAAATGTTTTGAAATTTACATATGATAGTACATATACAAATGAAAGAAAAAAGTACATCTGTACTTTTAAAACTTGATGAAAGGCCGTTAAATAATTATAACAGATATCATTCCTTTAGAAATGGAACAATAAAAAAAATTAAAGAAGATTTTCCGTCTTATTTAGCTGTCAGCATCAACATTTTGAAGATTTTTAGTGTTTTATAAAAGGTGCATATTGGTGTCTAATAAAAATGACTAAATACAGACATAAAACAATGAAACCCGCACGTAGTGTAGATGTTTTACTCCTTCTTACATGGGTAAAAGCCACAGTAGTTATTTTTATAGTTTACTTAAATAGACATGTATCAAATTGAGCTGCGAATCTTCGTAATAAATCCATTATCAGTCTGAAATTACATAATTTAAAGAAGCATGAATGCTGTTTTTTAAATAGTTTTGGAACTATTTAAAAATAATGTTTTATTTACATTTTCGGTCCCAGATTGGCCTCCTGGATGAAAATGAAAATTTCAGGACCTTATTGCAAAGCTACAAGACACCATCAATTTTATTCTTAAAGATGTTTTGGCTACAGTGTAAAATGTAAGAGGAGTTCATGTTCAAACGATACAAAGGATTATCTTAATGAAGTCTGTACCAAGTTTTATTGAAATCGGACTGAAATTGTAGAAGTAGCAGTTTAAAAGAAATTTATAGAAATTTCTACTTTTAGTAACCATGACAACACCATTCATCGAAATCAAAAACTGATATACAGAGTTATGTGTCTGAGTATAGTCTACCTATGTAAAAAAAATCTATTGGAATCAGATGAAAAATGTAGCAAAACTTTTTGAAAGAATTTCACATAAATTTTTGTTTTCAGTAACCATGACAACACCATTCATAAAAATTAAAAACCAGTGTAAGTATTATGTGCCTTAGTGTAGTCTACTTTTGTATCCAGTTACATGTGTATTGAAACCAAACTAAAACTGTAGAAAGAATAGTGTTTTGAAAGAATTTCACGGAAATATCTATTTATAGTAACCATGACAACTCCGTTCTCAAAAATAAAAAAAACCTGATACATAGAATTATGTATCTTAGTGTAATTTACTTGTGTACCAAGTCATATATTGAAATTGGACCAAAGCCGTAGGAGGATTAGTGTTATCAAAGAATTTCACAGAAATTTCTATATTTAGTTACATGTATCTTGACAACCCCGTTTGTTCATCCCGATCTAATACAGCTTCGAAGAATTAACAAAAGCAGATCATAGAAATTAATATTTATCTAGAGTTCATGGTAAAGTAAACAAGAGGCCCAGGGGCCACATCGCTCACCTGAGCACTATGGCTAGGTAAAGCAGAAATCAGTTCAGTCTTGAAAGGTTGAAAAATTTAAATATAAAAGTGGTTGGGGGGGGGGGGTTATGAATTGAACAAATTTAAATCGACACTATCTGAGGATGCTTCCATTTAAATATGACCAAACATGGCTTTGCTGTTCTTGAGAAGAAGATTTTTTTAAAGATTTTTCCTATATATTCCTATGTAAAACTTTGATCGCCCATTGTGGCCCCACCCGACCCCCAGGGGTCATGATTTGAACAAACTTGAATCTACACTACCTCAGGATGCTACCATGTAAATATGACCAATCATGGCTTTGCTGTTCTTGAGAAGAAGATTTTTAAAGATTTTTCCTATATATTCCTATGTAAAACTTTGATTGCCCATTGTGGCCCCACCCGACCCCCAGGGGTCATGATTTGAACAAAGCTGAATCTACACTACCTGAGGATGCTTCCATGTAAATATGACCAATCATGCCTTCGGCTCAGGTGAGCTAATAAAACTGTGACTGATTCCATTTCAGGATCATAAGATATTTCGTGTCTTTTGATTTGATTCTTTCAAATAGAAGCATGAAACTAAAAGTAATATCTTTTTAATTTCAAGATTTTGTGCAAATGTTACCATAATAACGAGCTATATCACGAGATTTTCCAATACTTTCTTTCATTTTATTAAATAATGTATAACTTGTCCTTTTTTCGTATGTGATCATTTATATTCTTTGTCCCTGCAAATTGTCACGACGAGGAATCAAATTCTAAAAAAAAAAATCATTTCCCCAATTTTTATAATTATTGGTTTAAGTTTGTAAAAGAAGGGTCACTTTAAATATACCTAAAATTCTAAGAAAATCCGTCATCATATTTGCCAAAACAGTTTAAGTATCTAGAGAATGGTTTTTAGAAATATTTAAAAGACGGCAGAGATTGTCGTCAACGACAATGTGTGCCAAATGTCGACCATATGCATGTATAATGCAAATTATTCTGCACCTAATACTGCCAGCAAAAATATGTGCCGTCAACCCCCCCCCCCCTGTCCTTTGTCCGCTAGAAGACGGGGGGAGGGGTCCAGCCAAATCTGTATTTTAAGGTAATGGTTTCATACCTTAAGGACTGGACACTCTTTTTTAGTATAAAAACATTTTAACATTCTATATTTTTCTTTTAATCCCCTACTTGAAATTCTTTTGCTTGACGAAAAAAAAAGAGAAAGAAAATGTATGACAATTGTCGAAATGACGATGACGATATATATATATTAGGGATGGCAATCGATTACAGCATTGCTAATCGGTTAACCGTAAGACGTTCCGACCGATTAATCGGTTAATCGTAATATCATACACATTTTTTGACATTCTATTTTTTCAAGTAGCTCTTTCATATACACAAGACGACTGATATAAAGACGCTAGAAGTTAGGAATATTCTGTTTATTATCTCGATCAGGAAACTTAATATGTAACTATCTTTTATTTCAATTTCAATAGACAAGAAAAATTATAAGAAAAACATGAACTTTGCCTGAGAAAACAGACGCAGATAATTTTCCAGTGCACACACAAGTTCAATCTGCATTGACACCATAATCACAACTATGCCTGAACTTTCACTGTCCAATCTTTTTCTAATACTATAATTTAAAAGATAACGGCAAAAGAAAGGCAAACTAATTAGCTCTACGTTGTTTTATTGAATATCATTAAAGGATTACAGGATAGTCTGGTTAAACGATTTGATGTTTTTAAAATCAGTAATTTGAAACTCTCCACAAACTGACCAATTAGCCGCGATCTCAATCCAGAAAGCCATAATTACCTCCTGACAAGCTTAATTATTAGGTGTGTAAAAACCGTAAATGATCAACTCTTATGTGTTGAAGTTTCCTTTCTAAAAATGAATTTTAAGAAAATTGCGTTCAAATTTGAATATATTTTATTTTTTTCCGATTAACCGATTACGGATTTTCTAACCGATTACCATCGTTCCGACCGATTAATCGATTAACCGGTTACAAATTGCCATCCCTAATATATATATATATATATATGTGTGTGTGTGTGTGTGTGTGTGAGAGAGAGGGTGTGTGTGTGTGTGTGTGTGTGTGAGTATACGGCTCTATCCCAAGAAATTAATACAGGAACATGTATATATGCAGGTTTTATGAGGTCTTTGTAGTATTTCAGTAAACAGTTTCGTTGGTGACTGAGTGGAGAAAAAGTGGACCACCCCCTCTGCTGAAACGAATATAGAATATATAAATTGCGATAAAAAAGGTTAAAAATCTTTGGCCTGCCTTGTAACTTTCATTTTTTTTTCATTAATAATACATTTTACGGATAGAAAGTTTATACTGAGCATTTGCCTCAGGCGATTAGGTATCTTTCTCTCATCTCTAAAATTCTTATCAACAGCAAGACTGACGGGAATACCGTTATGTGTAATAATCGTATTGATCTTAAAGAATATTTTAACGACAGAGATCCAGAATTACATAATGGTTCTCAGCTCTATAGGAATGAATGTTTGATACTTATATGTACTACTAAACACAGCTATGTAAACCATCCTGTTACCTCACCAGATAACACTTAGACAACTGTATTAATCAGAGAACTACAACACAATCAGAGTTTTCATGCGCAAGTGAATTTGTTTCAGTTGCAAACATTACTCACTTGAAGATGGATGCTGAAGATAACAATGTTAGGTAACCTTAATCATTTCTAATAAAAGGGAAACGGTAGAAAATAAGTTTTTATATAACTTCATTTTGTGATCATTAATAACACAATATCAAGACAATAATGTATGTGATTCCATAAGACCCAGCTATAAATATATACAGGAGTCAAAATCCAAGGAAACTGTATCTCTCTCTCTCTCTCTCTCTCTCTCTCTCTCTGTGCACACCAAAAAAATGTACAGTTTTCAATTACATTCAACTAAATCTCCATGCCCAATTTTTTTGGTTGGTCAATCTAATGCAGACATTCGACTTTTGATTTCAAAATCTCATGTGAAATATATTCCAAATTAATTAACAATTAACAAGAATCAATAAATGCATCTTAACCCTCCCCACCTTGTGCATCTTACAGCTGACAAGTCCATATCAATAGTCTTGTACAAGTATTCATTACTGACAATTGGCTTAGTTTTACAATGAAAAACATATATATGAAAGGAATGAAACCTGCCATGACAAATTTTAAAACAATGATAAACATTATAGTGATAAATATCACCGGTTGTTAACATCTGTAGTTCTTTAAATTACGGAGGAATCAGAAAATTCAATAATATAAAGAAGAGAGTCCAACACACATCAACTTGACATTTTGCACATAAGTTTTGAGGAAAAGGTCCTGAAATTTTCCCTTCAAAGTCAATAACTGAACTTTCACACTTTTCTCCAATGAACTCAGAAGGACAAATGCAACTAGTGTAATTTCTGTACTGTTTGCAAATACCGCCATTTTGACATGAAGATGGCGTACATGATTGTACAGACAGTTCACAGAGATCTCCATGGAAACCATATAAACAAATGCAACTGTAATCCTCTGTACCGTTCTTCAAACAACTTCCACCATTTTGACATTTTATATTTTTGCACATATCAATCTTGGATTCACATCGTTTTCCAAAGAAACCTTGAGGACATTTGCAATTCGCACGGAAGCCGGCTGTGGTATGGCATCGACCACCATTGAAGCACTTGATCCCATAACAGGGGTCCATAATTATCCCACACGTTTTACCCATGTAGTTTTCTTTACAGCGACAGATGAAATCATTGACTCCGTCCAAACAGGTGCCACCTGGATATGACAAGAAAATTCTGGTGTCAATTGCCTTTATTAGCAGACAAATTATTCATTGTTTAGTCTGCGCCAGTAAAAATAAACGATGAAAATTTCATTAACATCATATTTTTTAAAAGACACCCAAGATTTGTTTACAAAATGATGTAAAAGTCTATTTGAAGTGAAAACATAACTCAGAGTAATTAGGCACGTGCGTATCACGTTTGTAAATATTTTGAACTTACCATTTGCACATGGATTTGATCGACACTCGTCAATTTCACTTTCGCAATGTTTTCCTTCAAATCCCGCTAAACACGAACAATATGCTCCGTATTTGCCATTAGTACACGTACCGGAATTAGCACATATCATATCCTTGCAGAAACTCTTTTTATGTTGGCAGTATCTACCATGATATCCCTCAAGGCAAACACATTTGGCGTCGCCTTCCGAGGTTCCCTGAAAAAAAAGAAGCTGATTCTGGGTTCATTTTGGAAAATTATACAGTAGAATTAATTTGAAATTAAATGATTCCGTTTTCCTACTTTAGTAGATGCAATAAAATAAAAAAAAAAATCAAAAAACGAATAGTCAACTTAACGGTTAACATTAGAATTCTTACTTGACATTTCCCGCCATTTTGACAATGAATATCGAAGCAGACCTCGTTTTCACAAGTGCGACCAGTATATCCAGTCGAACACACGCATGTAAAATTCTTTCTCGCGTTGTTGAGGCAGGTTCCTCCATTTTTACATGGCCGATAGTTGGTGCAATAATGTTGATCTGTAAGAAATTTGATTATCTGCTTATCGTTTACAGCCTAAATTAGGAATAAATTGACATTATTTTATTGCATTTCTTACCTATATCGCAGTATCTTCCACCCCAGCCACTTCGGCAGATACATTGCCATGGTTCGTAACAGAAGCCGTTCACGCAACCAGGGTTAGGTATACACTTATCACAGGACTTTCCAGTCCAACCAAGAAAACACCTGAAATACAAAATTAATTCAATTTTAGCTTCACTGAACATCACAGTGCAGTTGATGACTACTATACAAGTATAAGTAAGAGAACATACGAACCTACACTCAAACGGGTTTTCACAATAGCCACGGCTGCTGTTGCACTTTTCAGTACAAACCGCTGTAACATCAAATTGTAGGACAATTACTAAAATGAATTTCTTACATATTTTTAAGGCTGTAAAAGATGTGTTGTTGCAAGAAAAAAATTATTTATTTCGAATTGCTGTCATCTTCGCTAGCCAAGGGTGACGATCCGCTCCTCTTCTCTTTTCAAAAGAGGAGAGGAGCGGATCGTCACCCTTGACTAGCGAATATGAATAGCTGCCTGCTTGTTACATTTTAGTTTCACGATAAAATATCCTCTGAGGAACAGGAAATTCGCTTTAAAGGCTATACATATATAAATTATTGAAACATTTAGGGCCATTAAATATATCCGATCATCAACAAGGAAGGATAACTCTTATATTTATCATTTTATTTAAAAAGTCTCAAAATGAAGCTTGAAATTGAGATCTTTTCGTGCAACAATTTTCATTTTATGCATCTTAATATGATTCAAGGTTCTTTGAAGTCTTAGAAACGGTCTTGTAAAAAGTTGACATTTGTACCCCATAAAAGAAAAAAAAAGGAATTCATTTTCAGAGAAATCGAATTTCCTTTAGTCTAGCATTAGATACCACTGTTTATTAACATGATATGAAATTAGACGTGATATTTGATGTCTAGCAATGATAACACAAGTTTTTTTTACACTATATATTAAATGACAATTGAAGTAAAAAGAAGAACTTAAATACTGTATAAGCATAAAAAAAGATGCAATTTCTCCAAATGCTGGAAACCTATATTTTTCTATCCTAAATTATATTTATTGATCAATTTTCAATTAGAAAATGCATAGCTGGTGTTTTTGTTTGCATTTCCTGAAAATATATTTGAGATTTGATAATTTTCTCTATATAATATGATTAACTATAATGAGGAACTTTGAAGAAATTCCATGGGTAAATTTACGTTACTATGTGATATCAGAGACATTTTTGTGAGCATTTTCAATTACTTAAAAGCTGATTTTCAGAACCTGAGGATCGGACTACCTTAAAGCCGAACTAGCCAGCATTAAGGACTTCAATTCTACGAATTTATTTGTTGAAATTGCTAACATAAAAACTTCCACACACGTTAAAGTAATCTTATTACATAATATTTATTAACGAAATCATCTTTGGTTTCCCAAGATCAGATCTATTCCCTGTGGCGAAATAATGGTTTAACTAAACGATTCAAGTTTTTTACGATTATTTAATTACTGCAATTTTATCAGAATATCATGTATGTTCCTTATTTTTTCTTCGATTCTTCAAAGTTCGTTCAAATTTAATAACAGGCCAGTACCTTCTTGACAGAATTCTCCTTGCCACCCAGGAAGACAGACTTTGGAGCCTGTTTCATCGCAAACATAGTGACCAAAGTTGTCGTTCCTGTGCCTACAGATTTGCTCACACGTGTCGCTGTAGTAAAATTCGTCACAGATTACCCGGTATTTATAGTAGATTTCTAACTGATCCGCCTTTGCCTTCCTTTTTGCCCACTGAGAGGGAGGCTTTAATTTGTCTGTTGCCACAGCTCGTAAAAGTCTATTTGAGACATCTATAAAACCAAGAAACAATTATGTATTTTCACAAATTCAGATTGTTCTGAGGTTTCCTAAATATAAGCTCGCTGCAGTTATAATTGAGAAACAAAGGAATCCCTCTAATTGGCTATGAAGCGGAAATAATATGTTTAAACCACACCGCAGTTCATAAAATTAGAATTTTTTTAATTTCTTGCATGCCATGTTGAATGAGATTCCTATGTATATAAATATGTCTGATGAATTGATAAGTACAAATAAGTGCCAGTAAAATAGTATTTTACTTTTCAATGTCAGAGATTCCCAACCCTTTGTATTTTGCTTGCTATTAGCAGATTCCCCTGCACTTATTCACATAATTTTAAGTTCAATGTATGCATTCTGATTCCTGAAACACACATTATGTTGCTTTTATTACAGAAATGTGTTGCATGAAAAGAAATCCTGTACGCGTTGCATCTCTGGCAAAGCATATAATGACCGAAAATGTCCACAGATGACATAAATCTTTAGACCCACAACAATGATGGGCCATATAAACGCTGGCATGTTCAATCTTTCGTTACTAATTGTGTCAGAAAAATGTACACACTACAGTTCTAATAAGATCTCAACGTGTTGGCGATGTTTAGGCATCTGTAGCGCTGCAGATGAGTAAGAACACTAGTAGTACATTTGAATGATTTTTTCCCCCTAGATGAGTTGATTTTACCTTCTGTGGAGAAGTCGGGATGAATGTCGCGCCACGCATCTATCACTAAAGAAAATGTTTCCTGAAAGAAAAAGGAAATCAAGATTCTTTATTTCAATTTGTTTACAGAAGAATCAATTGAATTTAGATTGTTCTAATTACATCTGTAGGGTGTGGGGGAGGAAACCTTTGCCAAATGTTGGGCGGCTGTAGGAGTTCCGGGTAAATAGGGCCTTTGTGATTCATCCATATTATGTAATTTTACAAACTAGATAGGTAACTGAACACAGAATGTCAATTTACAATATAAACAAATAAAAGTGTCTAATTAGAGAAATTATCGAGTCTTTCAACAAAGCTCCTGATACAAAGATTTTTTTCATGTATCTCTTGAAAAGCAGACGTTTGTATTGTAAACTCGTCAGACGACAGAGTATTGCAATTTCTTTGTGAATGATTGATGCTAACTAAGGTGTTAAGTTAAAAAAAATGAATTACACAATATCCCACTTCCGAGTTTATATTTAGCGCTGGATGTGAACAACAAGTTATGCATTAAATATAAGATATTTCTTTTGATACATTGTAATTTGTTTTATAGAACTTGTAATTTTTCTTTTTAGGTCTTTCCACCTTTCTGTGGAAAGACCTATTGATTTTCTTCTGTTTATTATTATTATTAGGTCTTTCCACCTTTCTGTGGAAAGACCTCTTGAAATGCTTATGTTTATTATTATTATTAGGTCTTTCCACCTTTCTGTGGAAAGACCTCTTGAAATGCTTATGTTTATTATTATTATTATTATTTTTCTTCCCGGACTTTTGAAACCGCAAGACTTATCGAAAAACTTTATAGTTCATGATACTGGATATTAAAAGTTATTCCGAAAAACGACCCCCCATGTTTGAACTTTGACCTCTTACGAAGTTATTGCCCCTTTCGCAAGAATAGCTTGTTATCGCTACTCCTTCAAAGCCGTAAACCGTAGAGGTACGAAACCTTCACCAATGTCTTCGACTAATTGAGGGGACTCTTCAATCTATTCATTGCGAAAGGATTTGTTGACCACTTCAATGAGTTATTGCCCCTGAAAGTTTTCGATGTTCACAAAAAACTAAAAATTTTCAAAACCATAAGTCGTTGAGACATGAAACCAACTGCATTGAATTCTTTGACCTTTGACCTTGAAATTTATGTCAAGGTCAAAGGTCAAGGTCATTCAAACTATGAGATATTTATAACTCTCTTGTCTTTCAACATATACTATATGTCTTTGCATCTTTAATATGTCCTTCTAAAAATATTTTAAAGATTTCAATTTTGTCCCCTAAGCTTAACCCCTTTGAAAGTTATCGGCCCTTGTCCAAAAAACCTTGTTATCGCTACTCCTCTGAAACCGTAGACCGTAGAGACATCAAACCTTCACTAATGTCTTCAGGGTCTTTTGACACAACTTCAATCTATTCAGTGCAAAAGGATCTGATGACCCCTTATATGAGTTATCGCCCTTTAACGTCTTTGCGCTTAATATTAGGCCTTATAACTTTAAAAGTATAAGTCCTAGAAGCATGAAACCAATTGCAATGTGATTCTTGACCTTTGACCTTTAATGTGTGGTAAAGGTCAAAGGTCAAGGTCAATTCAATTTTTTCATTTTTTTTTCTTTAGCTTTTTCTATTTTTCAAACTATTTCTGGATTCTTTCTGTATAAAAATTAACTCTAAAGAGTAAAATAAAAAAAATAAAGAAATTTAAAGAAGGTGGAAAGACCTCTAATTGTTCGAGAACAATTAGTCTACTAGTTATTATTATTTTTCTTCCCGGACTTTTGAAACCGCAAGACTTATCGAAAAACTTCATAGTTCATGATACTGGATATTAAAAGTTATTCCGAAAAACGACCCCCCATGTTTGAACTTTGACCTCTTACGAAGTTATTGCCCCTTTCGCAAGAATAGCTTGTTATCGCTACTCCTTCGAAACCGTAAACCGTAGAGGTACGAAACCTTCACCAATGTCTTTGACTAATTGAGGGGATTCTTCAATCTATTCATTGCGAAAGAATTCGTTGACCACTTCAATGAGTTATTGCCCCTGAAAGTTTTAGATGTTCATGAAAAATTAAAAATTTTCAAAACCATAAGTCGTAGAGACATGAAACCAACTGCATTGAATTCTTTGACCTTTGACCTTGAAATTTATGTCAAGGTCAAAGGTCAAGGTCATTCAAACTATGAGATATTTATAACTCTCTTGTCTTTCAACATATATTATATGTCTTTGCATCTTTAATATGTCCTTCTAAAACTATTTCAAAGATTTCATTCTTGTCCCCTAAGCTTAACCCCTTTGAAAGTTATTGCCCCTTGTGCGAAAAACATTGTTATCGCTACTCCTCTGAAACCGTAGACCGTAGAGACATCAAACCTTCACTAATGTCTTCAGGGTCTTTAGACACAACTTCAATCTATTCAGTGCGAAAGGATCTGATGACCCTTTATATGAGTTATCGCCCTTAAACGGCTTTGCGCTTAATAGTAGGCCTTATAACTTTAAAAGCATAAGTCCTAGAAGCATGAAACTAATTGCAATGTGATTCTTGACCTTTGACCTTTAATGTGTGGTAAAGGTAAAAGGTCAAGGTCATTTCAAAATTTTCAATTTTTTCATTTTTTTCTATTCTCAAGCCATTTCTGGATTCTTTTTGTATAAAAATTAACTTTAGAGAGTAAAATATAAAAATTAAAGAAATTTAAAGAAGGTGGAAAGACCTCTAATTGTTCGAGAACAATTAGTCTACTAGTTATTCTTCTTCTTCTTATTATTATTTTTCTTCCGCTGATTTTTTGTTTCGACATTTATCGAAAAGATTTTTTGTCCATCGTAAAGGTCATAAAAAGTTATGAACAAATTTGACCCAACGCGTATAACCTATGACCTCTTTCGCAGTTATTGCCCCTTTCGCTAGAAACCTTGTTATCGCTACTCCTCTGAAACCGTAAACCATAGAGGTATGAAACCTTCACCAATGTCTTTGACTAATTGAGGAGACTCTTCAATCTATTCATTACGAAAGGATTCGTTGAGCCCTTTTATGAGTTGTTGCCCCTGAAAGTTTTTGAAGTTTACAAATAATGAAAATTTTTCAAAACGATAAGTCGTAGAGACATGAAACCAACTGCATTAGATTCCATAACCCTAGACCTTGAAGTTTATATCAAGGTCAAAGGTCAAGGTCATTCCAAATAAGAGAAATAAAGCTCTTTTTATAGCTCTTTTATCTTTCAACATATACAGTATTTCTTTGCATCTTTAAAATGTACTTTTAAAACTATTTCAAAGATTTCAATCTTGTCCCCTTAGCTTAACCCTTTTAAAAGTTGTTGCCCCTTGTGCGAAAAACCTTGTTATCGCTACTCCTCTGAAACCATAAACCACAGAGACACGAAACCTTCACTACTGTATTCAGGGTCTTTAGACACAACTTCAATCTATTCAGTGCAAAAGTATCCGATGATCCCTTATATGAGTTATCGCCCTTTAACGTCTTTGCGCTTACTAGTAAACCTTATAACTTTAAAGCTAAAAGTCGTAGAAGCATGGGGTTAATTGTAATGTGACCCTTGGCCTTTGACCTTGAATATTTAATCAAGGTCAAATGTCAAGGTCATTTCAATTTTTTTTAAATTTTCATTTTTTCCATCTCTCAAGCCATTTCTGGTTTCTTTTGTATAAAAATAAAGAGTAGAGAGTTAAATATGAAGAATATATGAAATTTAAAGGTGGAAAGACCTCTAATTGTTCGAGAACAATTAGTCTACTAGTTTTACTTTTCTTTTGTATGTAATTCTATTTTCCATAGAAATCGCAAGTGTTGGTGTTTTTTTTTTATATCAAAAAGTGACGAACAGGTCCAAATGGAAGAATCTTTATAAATTATTGATGTTTATCAAACAATTATTATATATATGTATTGTATAGTAAACTCTTTACTTAATTGTCAGTAAAAATAGATTTTACTTATATGACGAATGAATAAGATATCGACTCCATGTGCAAAAGTATTTAAATAATCTTAATCATTGTAACATGCATGAAAAAAAGGATATATAATTTATATATATATCTCACAAATTACATGTAAACAATTTGTACTTTCCTCTCATATTTATTGTATTTAAAACTTTATGACATTTTTACACAATACAGATGATCGCTAAGTGAAGGTAACATTTCAGTTTAAATTGCCCGTCTTAGAAAGTATTATTTAGGTCTTTCCACCTTTCTGTGGAAAGACCTCTTGAAATGCTTATGTTTATTATTATTAGGTCTTTCCACCTTTCTGTGGAAAGACCTCTTGAAATGCTTATGTTTATTATTATTAGGTCTTTCCACCTTTCTGTGGAAAGACCTCTTGAAATGCTTATGTTTATTAGGTCTTTCCACCTTTCTGTGGAAAGACCTATTGAAATTGTTCTGTTTATTATTATTATTATTATTATTATTTTTATTATTTTTCCGCCGAATGGTTTTTTATTTCAAAAGTTATCGAAAAGATTCATGGTCCATAAGAATGTACTTTGTAAAAGATTTTTGCAGTTGACCCTGCGTATATGAACTTTGACCCCTTAAGGAGTTACAAGCCCTTTTGCAATAAAACCTTGTTATCGCTACTCCTTCGAAACCGTAAACCGAAGAGGTACAGAACCTTCATCAATGTCTTCGAATACTTGAGGGGACTCTTCAATCTTTTCATTGCGAAAGTATTCGTTGACCCCTTTTATGAGTTATTGCCCCTGAAAGTTTTTGATGTGTACGAATAATTAAAAATTTTCAAAACGATAAGTCGTAGAGACATGGGACCAACTGCATAAAATTAATTGACCTTTGACCTTAAAATATATGCAAAGGTCAAAGGTCAAGGTCATTCCAAAAATGAGAAATTAAGCTCTTTTTATATCTTTTTTGTCCTTCAACATGTCTTTTATATCTTTGCACCTTTAATATGTCCTCTTAAAACTATTTCAAATATTTCATACTTGTCCCCAAAGTTTGACCCCTTTAAAAGTTATTGCCCTTTT